AACCCAACATTTTGAATAATTTTCTTTTAATTTTAATAAACAATATGGTTTGGTTAAAATTTGTTAGATTAAATTTGATATAGAGAGTCTTTCAACTATAGTTTAACTAGAAATAAGATATATAAAATTTAATTTATGAATAATATAGATAATTTCCTTATGATGAATGTTAATATTTCAGTTATGATGGCAAATGAAATACCCGTTATTTACTTCTTCAATGGGAGACTGAGTGTTGGAATGAATAATATGCCTATATACGAGGGAGGATCTAGAAAAATATTTATGCTATCTAAAAATTGCAACTTCGATGGAATGATGAAGCAAATATATAGAGTTACTAGAATTAACCATGAAAAGTATGCAACTAAGGTGTTCTGTCATTGTCTGATAAATTAAAAAAGAACAATTGTTGTGGAGATATCCAATGATCAAGATATGATAAACATGATACAACTTGATAGAAAACCAAATCTCAATTGAGTTTTTCATTGAAAAGATTTCAATACCTATTGTTGCCCAAGTTTAAAAAATTTTCTGGGATAGTTCTCTCGCATGCTTGACTCAGAAAATAACTCGAGCAAATTTATTTTATCTCCAAATGTCATGTAATTAGAAAATGACTCGAGTGAAATGACATGAACTCAGCTACAACATTTAAGTAGGCTTCCCATTGTACAACATCAAGTGATATGTTTCACAATGCTTTGGGTCATGTTACACATAATTTACTGGTTGGTTCCATTGTAGAAGAGGTTGAGAATGCAGATGATGATCCTAAAGATATTGAAGAAGAGAAATGACTTGATACCATGCAGTGTGCAATTGGAAGAATTAATAAGGACACCTATTGGAATGATGAATTTTGTGTAAACAACAATTATGTGGAGTCTGAAGAACCTTTGCTAGAAGAGTTTCAAATGAGGAGTGGATAAATGCCTCACAAGCTGAGTTTATTGATTTTGGTTCTAATTTCGAATGACCTAGGACTTCACTTTTAAAAAGTGATCTATTCGAGAATAAGGGAATGTTTGTTTTCACTATATGTGAATGGTCAATCAAGAATCGACCGGTGAAAACTAATACAACCAACTACCATGTAAAGTGCTACTTTAGCGAAAAACTCAATGAGAGTATACAAGTGCTCGAGATGAAAGAAATTCAATGTATCCTTGGGAGCTCAATGCAGCTGTTAGAAAAAAATCTAATGGGTAATTTTTGATCTCTAGTTATTGTAGACTTCATACATGTTGCCATCTGACTGTCAATATTGATCATAAGGTAATTTCCTCCTATATCTTGAACTTAATTATGCCTGGAGTAAGGAGATAACTTGATCTGACTCCAAGTCAGATAATTACAAAGGTATACAATATGAGAAAAATAATTATATCCAAATATAAGGCATATGATGCACAGAGGAAGATGTTGACTAAAATGTTTAGTGATTGGGAGAAATCTTACGAATTACTTCCATATTATCTTCAAGCAATTAAGAGGAAAAATCTAGGTACTGAATATGAAATATTATCTAAAGAGATGCACTGGGATTGGAGTGGTTCATGCAAGTATTTTGTGCATTTGGACCTACTATCGAGGGGTTCTCATTTTTTCATCTGTTCTTGAGTATCAATAGCACACATTTATATAACAAGTACAAAGCAGTGCTTTTGGTTGCAATTGGTTAGACACAAATGGTAGATTATTTCCATTGGCCTTTTTAGTTGTTGCGGTAGAGGACACATCAAGTAGGAAGTGGTTTTTTCAATGTATTTATAGATTCATTCCTACTATCCAAAGTCCTAGAATGATTACTTTTATTTCCAACTAGATAAAAGAAATTCCATGGGCCTTACACGAGGGTTTTGAAGCACCGCCTCATCACCAATATTACTTGAGGTATATAAGAGATAGTATCAAGAAAAAAATACAAAGATGTTAATTTACAAAATCTATTGTGGCAAGCCGGATGTGCAGCTAACACATTGGTGTATGAGCATTGTATGGAGAAAATTAAGTCACTATTAGTTAAAGCACACAACTGGATTGAACAAAACTTAAAGCCGCAATTGATAGGCTGTTAAGTAAAGATGATGGAGTGTGCTATTATATGATATCAACTAATTGTTCTGAGAGTTTTACTGGCATACCTAAGGGTACTCGAGCTATGCCAATTCAAGCCTTAGTTGGGAGGATGTTTTATAGGTTAAACGCATACTTTAATAAAAGGCATAGTGATGGTGCAAGTTGGATGATGAGTTACTCCAAAAAATGATAGCTTACTACAAAAAAGGATTGTGGTTGCAAGATCATATAGAATTACTCAATTAAATACAAATGAGTGGGAGGTTAAAGATTATTAAGTTACTTACAATGTTTATCTCTATGACTATGATGCAACTGTACTTATAGTATACCATAATTATAAAAATTACCATGTGAATATGTTTCAGCGGTAGTTTTGATCAGGATATTGTACTAGATTGCATTATGATCAATATTGCTCAATTTAGTATCCAATTGATCATTATCGAAAGGCTTACAAGAAGATTTTTCATCCTCCCAATGATAGTCGCTATTAGCTGGCTTATAATGGACCGTGTCTATTATCACCTTAGTACAAAAGGCAAGCGGGGTGACCTTAATCTGTGCTTATTAGAGGTACCATGGATCAAGGGTAGGAAGGAGTGGCGTCACGAATTAAATTTTAGTCAATGTAATCAAATTGGTCATAATAGGTCTCAGTGTCCATCAAGAACAAGTGGATGCAATTAATTAGTAATATTTTTTCTATCTCTTTTTCATGCTTTTTTGACGTAACGCGGAAGTAGTAGCCTCAGAATCTTCTAAGAACAATCTTCGAATCCACGAAGTAAATATTGAAGAAAAAATAAACAAAATTTTATTAATTAAAGTTTATGCCTCTAGGACTTACAAGACTCAATTTAAATAGAAAAAGAAACAAGACTTCTACAAGAACTCAAACTTTACTAAAAATAGTAAAAGAATTCCTAAAACATTAAAACTCCTAAAAAGACTCATTATGACTAGGAAAGTCCACCAGTCAAATCTGAGATCAAATCGGATTTGTTTTCTGATCAATACAGACTCCTAAAACATTACTAAAAATAGTAAAAAAATAGACAAAAATGCAGATATCTCTCAAACCGTAAGGAATTTGACGAAACGGATGAATTAAACCAAACCCTTAGATGTTAGTTTGGTTGGCTTAGTCTTGTTGAGATAGTCTATTTTTATATATAATTCGTCCAATTCTGAGTTACGGTTTGAAAGTTATGATCTATTTTCCGTAACAAGTTATTTTCCTCGACCAAGCCCGCGTTTGGGCTTGCGACTGTCCTACTTTGACATAAACATGTTTGTCGTGTGTTCTACATCGGTCCCCCCTAGTTGAAAAGAGCTCGACCCCGAGCTTACACTTGCATGAACAGCTATTTCTTATGGTGGGTAATACTCAAACAAATCTGCAACATTAAAACTAGGAGAGATACCCAAATCTATAGGAAGGTCAACCACATAAGATTATCACTAATCTTTCTCAATGTTTTGCATGGACCATACTTCTTATTCTTCAGCTTGTTGTAGGTTCCCACGGGAAAACATTCTTTTTGCAGAAACACCATCACCATGTCTCCTTCTTCAAACACCTTCTTCCTCCTGTGTCGATCAGCATCAGGCTTATATTTAGCATTAGACTGCCCTATCTTCTCCTTCACTTCTTTTTGGATCACCCGTATCTTTTCAACCATATGATCTGCTGGAACACTCTGTCCGCGAAGCTTAGGTAGTGGAGCAAGGTCAAGATAATGATTCGGAAGCCTTCCATGCATAATCACAATGGGAGCCTTGCCTATAGTTCGATTCTCCATACAATTATAAACAAACTCAGCATGTGCCAGGTCAAGACCCCACTACTTTAGACGATCGCCAGAGATGGATCTAAGAAGGTTACCGATAGTGCGATTTACTACTTCAGTTTGGTCATCCGTTTGAGGGTGGTAAGCAGTACTGAACTTAAGAGAAGTATTGAATTGCTGCCACAAAGTCCTACAAAAGTAGGATAAGAACTTAGAGTTACGATCGGATGCGATGGATTTTGGCACTCCATGAAGGCAAACTATCTCCTGAAAGAAAAGATTGGCAATATGGCTAGTATCTGCAGTCTTCTTGCATGGAATAAAGTGTGTCATCTTCAAAAACCTATCAACCACAACAAAAATAGAAACCATACCTTGTTTGGTTCTAGGCAGTCCCAACACAAAGTCCATAGAGATATCATACCATGGCGCATCAGGAATAGGCAAAGATGTATACAATCCCGTATTCTAAGACAATCCCTTAGCAACTTGACAAACTGGACAACGCCGCTTATATTTTTCTGCTCCCTTCTTCAGCTAAGGCAAGTAATGTCACTTTTCAATAGAAGCAATCATCTTATCTCGCCCCAAGTGTCTTCCTAGCCCACTAGCATGAAGGTCTCGAATTATCTGCTCTCTTAGTGAACTCTGGGGTATGCACAACTGATCGCCATGAAATAAATAACCATCCTGAATATGAAAGCCTTTGACTGATTTATTCTGTTGACAGTCATCCTAAATCTCTTTAAAGTCTTCATCCTCTGCATACAACTCCTTTAGGTACTCAAATCCAATCACTTCTGCCTGCAAAGTCACCAACAAACCAGCTCTCCAACTGAGTGCATCTGCAACCTTATTTTTCTACCTGGATTTGTACTTCAAAACAAAGGTGAAATGTTGTAGATACATGATCCAACGAGCATGCATACGGTTGATGGTAGTCTGACTATTAAGGGACTTCATGGCCTGATGATCAGTATAAAGCATAAACTCTCGCGAGATCAAATAGTTCTCCTAATTCTTCAAAGACTAAACTATGGCGTATAACTCTAGCTCATATGTGGTCCACTTCTGCAGAGCTTCGCTGAGTTTCTCATTGTAGAAAGTACCTGGACGTCCTTCTTAAGATAGAACACCTCCAATTCCTACGATGGATGCATCACAATCAACTTCAAACACCTTTTGAAAGTCTGGAAGTGCAAGTACTGGTGCGGTGACCAATTTCTCCTTGATTAATGCAAATCTACGATCCGCTTCTACTCCCCAATTAAACTTTCCTTTCTTCATGCATTCAGTGAAAGGAGCTGCAATACTGCTAAAATTTCTGACAAATCTCCTATAAAACGTTGTTAGGCCATGAAAACTACGAACCTCACTGACAGTCTTCGGTGTAGGCCAATCTCGAATAGCACACACCTTCTCTTCATCAACATGGATACCCTCTGCACAAACGACAAAGCCTAGAAATACAAGGCTACCGGTCATGAAGTTGCATTTCTTTAGATTGATGTACAACTTGTTCTCTTGCAAAACTATTAGTACCTCCCTCAAGTGGTCCAAATGTGCAGTCTCGCTCTGGCTATAAATCAGGATATCATCGAAGTAAACTACAACGAACTTGCTGATAAAGGATTTTAATACATGATTCATCAAATGCATAAAAGTGCTAGGAGCATTAGAAAGGACAAAAGGCATGACTAACCATTCATACAGGCCTTCTTTTGTCTTAAAAGCAGTTTTCCACTCATCTCCTTCTCTAATCTCAATCTGATGAATCCACTCTTGAGATTTATCGTGGAGAACACTTTTGATCCATTAGACAACATATCTAACATGTCTTCCAACTGTGGGATAGGAAATTGATACTTCACGATGATCTTGTTGATAGCTCTGCTGTCCACACACATATGCCACTCTCTATTCTTCTTCAAGACTAGTAATGCTGACACGGTATACAGACTCATGCTAGGCCATATAAGTCCTTTCTAGATGAGGTCATCTACCTGCTTCTACAAAATCTCTCCTTCCTTTGGGCTCATCCGATAGTGTGGTAAATTTGGTAGCCGAGATCCTAGAATGAGGTCGATCTGATGTTGAACGTCTTGAAGCATTGGTAATTCAAAAGGAAGATCGTCGGGCATAACTGCATCGAATTTCTACAAGAGGGTCTGTACTTTAGGTGGAATTTTGGCGGTGGCAAAATCATCTTTTCCCGAGACAACAAGAGCATAAATCTCATCAGATTATTTCACATCTTTCATAAAGTCTTCATTGTCAAGGACCAAAAAAGTCTTCTTTTCAGCAACATTGGTTTCGATAGGCCCCTTCTCGGTTAGAGGCATGAGCACAATTCGTCGACTATTCTTCTTAAATATATAAACATTATCCTTCCCCCTATGCATGGCATCAACATCAAACTATCATGGTCTTCCTAACAACATATGACATGCGTCCATCTCAACTACATCACATAATGCCTCATCGATATAAGTTCAGCCAATGGAAAAAGATACACGACACACCTCATCAACCTGCACGTCATTACCCTTACGAACCTAATTTCTCCACCATACACCGAGAGATAATATTCTCATTGTTCCCACTATTAATGATGACATCAGAGATCTTCTGTTTCATAGTGCATCTCATGCAGAAGATGTTATGCCTCTGTCATGGTTCTTCTGTCTTTGGGGCCATGAATAGTCGCCGCACAACACATGAGAGTTGTTTCCCATCATCATCAGGATCCAATCCACCATCATAATCTTCAGCATCGTCTTGGTCTACATCCTCTTTTTCGTGATCCACCATATTCACAACACCTCTTTTAGGGCACTGATTAGATTGATGATCAGGCTATCCACATCTATATCACTTGATCGGGTCAGGCTTGGCATATAGGTTCAATGGTGTAGTCTTCTTTACTGTTGTTGTTGCTGAACCCTTTTCCTTCTCTGTTGTAGCATGTAATAATCAATATTTTTTTATGCAAGGTTTTATAGGAGGTCCATAATCATTTTATTTTGTAGCAAGCTTTATACATAGGCCCACATCATGTTGGAAAAAAAAAATAGAGAGGGTTCTCAAAGGCCCACCTAGAAAGCCCACTTCACCCATGTTTTTTGTTTAAGAGATTCAAGAGGATTATTTTTCTTTTTTGGAATTTTTTTTAAAATTCAAAATCCGGTGTTTTCAGCTTCCAAATAAAAAAAAACGTGGAACTTTTTTTTTCCTTGTTTGTTTTTACACATTTTACCAAATTTAAAAACAAATTTCCTTAATTTTAGGGATTTTCAAAATTTAACTTTCTTATATATATATATCCTCACCTCTTCTTTCCTATATAAAAAAAATCTGCACAAAAAAAAACGAAAAAAAAAGAAGAAGCAACAGAGAACAAGAGAAGGAAGGAGACGCATTTGGATTTTTTTTTTTTTTTTGGAGTTCATAGTCTTTTCTTCGACAAATCGGCAAGCATTCTTTTCCTCAAATATTATTATTTTTAGATTATTATTTTTGATTTTTTTTTCTTCATGCAAACATTTTTTTTATATATATATTTTCCTATGAAATTTTAATATTTGTAAGTCATCAACTTGATATATGTATAGGATAAATATTTGAATGGCATCCGTTATAATTAGTTTGATGGCTTGAGCTGTAAATAAATTGATGGCTTGAGTTATAAATAAATTGATGGCATTCACTGTAAATTGGAGGTTCAAAGGTTATGTGTATACGAGTTTCTTTTAGAATCCTTTAGACTTTGATTTATTATATTTTTACACCTAGTACAATATTAAGTTCAACCTAATCCGAGTTGGAACTTTGCCCCCATGTCAGTTGTGTCGAATAGCAGACCCCATGTGTCCCACATACACATTCGTCGTTCCCAAGCAGCATGCATTTCAATTACTTGGTTTATATAGGTATATATATAATGACTAAGAACGGGTAAAATAGAACTTGGACAATTTTTTTTCTCTTGTTTTTTTTTCTCTTATGACTTATTTTTTTCTGCATTGACCGTTTACATGAGGCTTATTTGACGTTAATATTATCCATATTTGAGGAGTCAACTTTAATGTTCTAAGTATTTCCTAGTTGGTATGTACTGTGTTTGACATGCATGGTTGTATGGAAAATTGTTGTTTGATCACTTAGTTGTTATCCAATAGGAGAGACTGTACATGAAGACGATTTCTGTTAAAAGTATGATTTATAAGCGTGCTTCAAAGCATGGCTATACTCGCTCGACATCGATATCCCGATGTGAGAAGTCCCGAGTTCCCTCGATATCGATATCCCGGTATGAGGTTTCCTTGATTATTATTATTATTATTATTATTATAGCATTGACTAGACGATGCACTCTTGATCGGACGTGTTACGAGTCACGGTTATGTTCATAGTTTTACAGAAGTCATTCCACGGTAACTCTGTGGCTAGTGCATAATATTTCATGTACAGTTGCGTAATTAATATGACAAACATGGGGTTTATAAAGGGGAATTAGACAGAGAATATAACATGTATATAAATGGGCCTATGCGCATCCTGATATCCTGAGTTATTTATATATATACATGGGCCAAAGGGCCAATACTTGACTTGAAGCCGTGTTCCCGGGACGGTTTACGGGAAACCGATTTATATACATGAAAATATTCTTCTCTAATTTAAATAACTTTTAAAATAATAATAAATCTGCTTGTGTGTTTGATGATAGACTTTGTTTGATCTCTATGGTTTGTAAATTTTCTTTTATCACTGTTTTATTTATAATTTATTTTTCCTTTTACAGTTACACGTGCATTATCCCTTCATTTTACATGCTTGTTGGGAGTTTTCTGACTCCCCTGGGGTTTGTATGCCCCAGATTCGGGAACTGTTCTTTCTTCGCAGGACCGAGAGTATTTGGAGGGGCAGGCTCAGCTGCAGTGATCACCGTTCCTTCTATCAGTTCTCCAGTTCAGTTGTTTTAGGTAGTTATTTGGTTTAGGTTTTTTTTTCTTTAGCCCCAGTTGGCTCTCCAGGCTATGGTGTATTATTTCCTTTCTTTTTAGAGATTTGTGGACTTGTCATAGAACTATGGAAATTTCTGAGATTTCTTTATCTATACCTTCCATTTTATTTTCTTGGTTACATGCTCTTTGGTATAGTTTTGGCTTTATCTGTATGCAGGATGATCTAGAGGCGTGAATGCGACTGTATGGTTGCATTGCCGACCGAGTCACGCTCCAAACTATTACATTTTGGGATCGGGGCGTGACATAGCATCTTGATCAGAAATAGTCTGAGACTGTTTATTCCCACCACGATTAAAGCTCGTGCGTTACCCGTCGGAAGCTGCCCATGATCCTTTACTATTTCGTCCGAGTTGTCGCTTCACCTTCTCGACTAGGCTAACCGTGTCTGCTAAGGTATAGGTCTGCTACAAAGATACACCATCCTGAATCGCCATCCTCAATCCCCCTATATATCAGGACATCTATTGGGCCTCGCTCTCATTTAAGTTGTTACGGGATGACAGTCGATAGAACTCCTGCGTATACTCATCCACAGTTCTTCCACCTTGCTTACAATTCTGGTATTGTCCAAATAAAACTTGTTCATAATCACTTGGCAAGAAATAGGCTCTCAGTAGTTTCTTCATCTTTTCCCATCTATCAACCTTCGGCTTTCCTTAACGAGATTGATTCAGAAAAACAGATTCCTACCAAGCTGAAGCTCCACCTTTGAGTCGATAGGCCACCAATTTTACCTTACGCTCTTCTGAGATCTCCATATACTCAAAGAATCTCTCTACTTTTGCAATCCAGTCGAGGAATTCTTCGATATGAAGTTGCCCGTTGAAAGATGATAGATCCATCTTCATCTTGAAACCTCCAGCGTCATAAGTATCCCTTCATCGACGATCTTTGTGATAAACACCATAGCGTGGTGCTGTATAGTTATCTTCCTCATTGTCAGATTCATCATATGGAGTCAGATCACGTTGTTGGCGACCATCAACGCGATTTTGAACTCCCACAGTGTTTAGACGCTCTACTGCCACCGCAAGTCGCTCCGTGATAGTCTTCATCTGATTAACATCGGCCTTTAGCACGTCAAACTCAGTTAGAGTAATAGGGGATAGGAGCTTCATCACCTACCATTAGATTGGAGGGACAAGGCTCTGATACCAATTGACGCAGCACGAAAGTAGTAGTATTGGAATCCTCCAAGGACAATCTTCGAATCCACAAAGAGCTTCGAATCCACAAAGTAAATATTGAAGAAGAAAATAAACAAAATTTTATTAATTAAAAATTATGCCTCTAGGGCTTATAAGACTCTACTTGAATAGAAAAAGAAGCAAGACTTCTACAAAGACTCAAACTCCTACAAGAACTCAAACTTTACCAAAAATAGTAAAAGAATTCCTAAAATATTAAAACTCCTAAAAAACTCCTTATGACTAGGAAAGTCCACCGGTTCAATCTTAGATCAAATCGGATTTATTTCCTAATCAATACAAACTCCTAAAACAATACTAAAAATAGCAAAAAAAGGATAAAAATGCAGATATCTCTCAAACCGTAAGGAATTTGGTAAAACAGAGAAAGAAAACCAAACCCTTAGGGGTCAGTTTAGTTGGCTCCATATCATCAAAATAGTCGATTTTTATATATAATTCGTCCAATTCCGACTTATGGTTTGAAAGATATGACCTGTTTTCTGTAACAAGTTATGTTCCTCGACCAAGCCCGTGTTTGGGCTTGCGACTGTCCCACTTTGACATAAACATGTCTGTCGTGTGTTCTATATCATTTTTATTATTAGCTTATTGATTGAGCAACAACTAATCTGTTACCAATTATATGTGCAAGTATATATACTATGCTTCTCGGGTCGGTTAGTGATGACGTCCTCTATGACCAGTCATGACATCGTTGGGAGACTATATCATTTTTAGAGGTAA